CACACACACACTACACACACACACTACACACACACTACACACACACTACACACACTACACGCACACACTACACACACACACTACACACACTACACACACACTACACACACTACACACACTACACACACACACACACTACACACACACTACACAACACACCACACACACACTACACACACACTACACACACACTACACGCACACACTACACACGCACACACTACACACACACTCTACACACACACACTACACACAAACACTACACACACTACACACACTACACACACACCACACACACACCACACACACACCACACACACACACCACACACACACAACACACACACAACACACACACACAACACACACACACATCACACTACACACACATCACACTACACACACATCACACTACACACATCACACTACACACACTACACACACACACCACACACACACTACACACACTACACACACTACACACGCACACACTACACACACACTCCACACACTACACACACACTACACACACACACACTACACACACACACTACACACACTACACACACTACACACACACTACACACACCCTACACACACACCACACACACACACTACACACACACTACACACACACTACACACACACTACACACACTACACACACATCACACTACACACATCACACTACACACACTACACACACACTACACACACTACACACATCACACTACACACACTACACACACACACCACACACACACTACACGCACACACTACACACACTACACACACTACACACGCACACACTACACACGCACACACTACACACACACTACACACACACTACACACACTACACACATCACACTACACACACTACACACACACTACACACACACACTACACACACTACACACACTACACACGCACACACTACACACACTACACACACACTACACACGCACACACTACACACACACTACACACACCACACACACACTACACACACACACTACACACACACTACACACACTACACACACTACACACGCACACACTACACACACCACACACACCACACACACTACACACACACCACACACACACACTACACACACACCACACACACGCACTACACACACATGCACTACACACACACCACACACACGCACTACACACACACGCACACACACCACACACACACCACACACACACTACACACACACCACACACACGCACTACACACACACGCACACACACCACACACACACCACACACACACTACACGCACACACTACACACGCACACACTACACACGCACACACTACACACACTACACACTACACATGCACACACTACACACGCACACACTACACGCACACACTACACACACACTACACACACTACACACACACTACACCCACACACTACACACACACACCACACACACACTACACACACACTACACACACCACACACACACACGCTACACACACACACCACACACACTACACACATACACACGCTACACACACACACACACACCACACACACACTACACACACAGACACCACAGTGTGTGTGATGTGTGTCTACACACACACTCTACACGCACACTACACACGCACACACACACCACACACACACCACACACACACGCACTACACACGCACTACACACACACACACTACACACGCACACACACACGCTACACACGCACACACTACACACACTACACACACTACACACACACTCTACACACACACACTACACACACCACACACACACACCACACACACACACACTACACACACGCACTACACACACACGCACCACACACACACGCACTACACACGCACACACCACACACACACGCACTACACACACACACTACACACGCACACACCACACACACACCACACACACACTACACACACACCACACACACACACCACACACACGCACTACACACACACACACTACACACACATGCACTACACACACACCACACACACACGCACTACACACACACGCACACACACCACACACACTACACACACACTATACACATGCACACACTACACACACACTACACACGCACACACTACACACGCACACACTACACACACACACTACACACACTACACACACACTCTACACGCACACTACACACGCACACACACACTACACACACACTACACACACCACACACACACCTACACACGCACACACCACACACACACACCGCACACACACACTACACACACACACTACACGCACACTACATGCACACACAAACACTACACACACACTACACACACTACACACACACTACACAGACACTACACACACACCACACACACACACTACACACACACGCACACACTACACACACTACACACACACACCACACACACACTACACACACACAGTACACACACCACACACACTACACACACACACTACACACACTACACACACACACTACACACGCACACACTACACATGCTACACACACGCTACACACACACTCGACACACACACTAGACACACACATTACACACGCACACACTACACACACACTACACACGCACACACTACACAGACACTACACACGCACACACTACACACACACTACACCCACACACTACACACACACACACCACACACACACCACACACACACACTACACACACCACACACACACACGCTACACACACACACACCACACACACACTACACACATACACACGCTACACACACACACACCACACACACACTACACACACAGACACCACACACACACACTACACACACAGACACCACACACACACACTACACACACACACCACACACACCACACTCATACACACACACACACCACACACTACACACACATACACACACACACACCACACACTACACACACATACACGCACACACACACACACACACACGAGTCTGTGCTCTAACCACACTGATCTGGTTCCTCATTCCTGCTCATACACACACACACACACCACACAGTACACACACATACACACACACACACCACACACTACACACACATACACGCACACACACACACACACACGAGTCTGTGCTCTAACCACACTGATCTGGTTCCTCATTCCTGCAAGCACTGGGCCCGGCCTTTGTACGAGTCTCTTCTCCTGGGATGCTCTCCTCCCCGTCACCACCAGCTGTCTGAGCTCACCTCCTCCAGAAAGCCTTTTCTAACCCCCTAAGCTTGACCCTCGGGGACTTGGAAGAACTGAAGTGGTCCAAGGAGTCCCTTGATAATCAAACCTAAGAGGAGAAGGCTTGCTTGGTTAGCCTGGGAGAAGGAAACCAGAATCTAGCCTCTTAAACTGTGAGATTTCTTAGACACTGTACTTCCCCTGTGCGTATTATTTTTGTCACCCTGTCTATTGTCTCAGAGTCATTAGCAGTTTAACATTTAAAACAGGAGGGGCTTGTCTGCTTGTGATCAGTAAGTGGGAACTGAAGCCCGGCCCCACGCCACAGCCACGTTGGATGGCAGGGAACCTGGGGGTGGGGAGCCGGGAGCGAGCACGGGCCTGAGGGGTCAGCTGCTTGCTGGAAAGGCCTGAGCCTCAGTCAGAAGCGTGTCTAGTTTGGAGTGAGCTAAGTTCCAGGAAGTCCCTGGGCCTGCAGGACCCTCTGGGGGGCCTTCACTTCTACAGCAGTGTCGAAGCCATGCAGTAGGTGGGCTGGCTGCAGGGAGGGGCACGGCCTGAACCCAGAGCCTGGGAGCAGCCGTGATTAAGATGAGCCAGGGGGCGGGCGGCCTGGCTTGGGAACTCGGGCTATCGGTGTCAATGCCGTGCAGAGGTGGAGAAGGACATGGCACCTAGGAAGCCATCTGCGACCTTTTTAGAACGGCAGTGTTGGGGTCCATGCCAAGCCATAGAGGCTTAAATAGGCAGAGAGCAGAAAGAGCTGAGTCCTCTTCCCAGGAAGGAGGAAGGTTTCAGGCGTGACATGGGGAGAGGAGAGGGCCAGGCAGGCAGTGCAAAGTGCAGGGTCTGTGGTAGACGGCAGGTGGCTGCAGGGCTGGGTGGGCTGTGGGCACATGTGGAGAAGTCACCTTGGACAGGAAGGAATACAACCGTCCCCAGGACAGGAAGGACGTTGCAGGAGGGGAAGTGGATGTAATAACCGCCGGTGTTTCGCCCTTATTGACCTTCCCCACTGACCGTGTCAGCCACGGACTCCTAAGGCCGTATCCTGGGAACTTGCTGCCCCCGGAAACTCTCCATCTGGTATCTTCAATGCCGGCCCCTCTTTGCCTGCGGCTTTCCATTCCTGTCACTGCACTCAGCTGTCCTGGCCTCCGAGTGCCCTCCGAGTCTCAGTCCCTGTGCTCCAGGCCTGACCCACAGATGATCACTTCAACATTTCCTGCAAACATCTGCCACGTCCTTGCCATTCTACCATCTCACCCTACTCTAAATCTTCTCCAGCCTCAGGGCTGCCATCACACACTAACAATTCCCAAACCTCAAGCTTAGTCCAGGTCTCTCTCCTCAGCTTCTAGACTTGGGTTGTCAGTTGCCTGCTGGCCATCTCTAACTGGACAATATGGGGAAGGTGCTAATGGTGTGGGATGGGGAGGCTGAGGACGAGGAATGGGAGCAGGGTGGGGAGGCTGGTCCACATAGTGGACCCAGTAGGGCAACACATTTGGATTCCTGAACCGGGAAATTCTCAGTCTACCGAGCTGCTTGGCAGTTCGGTCGAGGGGAAGAATGTGCACAGGGCTCCTACCATTGGGCGAATGGGATTGGGACCTCGCTTTGCCCTGTCGTCCTCACGGCCCTGTGTCTGCACACTCCTCCCCGCTGGGGGCCAGGGTCCCGCAAGTTTGTGGCTACCTACACGCTGCCCCATGACCTTCCAAGACCTCAGCGTGGGGCGTCCCTCCTCTGTGGGCAGCCTCATCCCTCCCTCCTGCTCTTCTTTGACCCAGGCCTCTTACGGTTACCCTGGCATGGGGGAGAGCCTGCCACCACCTCGCCGAGCCCGCTGCTGAGCGCGGTGATGCCGAGGTCGCCCGCCTGAGTCTTGATGGCTGCCTTGAGTTCGTGGTTCTCCCGAATGAGCCGCACCAGCTTCTTTAGCTCCTCGTTTTCCCGCACCAGCCTCTCTATCTGATGCCGGAGCCCCTCGTAATTGGTGAGTAGAGACATGCCCTGGGGTAGTGGGAAGAGTGCGGCCCACAGGAGGGCACTGCACCTGGAGGCTGCCCAGGGCCCCGGGCCTTGCCCGGGATGAAGGAGCATGCAGAGTCTGCAAGGCTGGCCCAGCGGCCCTGGGTATTGTGAGGTCAGAGGCTGTGCCCTCCTCCTTGCCCTCTCTGCTCTAACAGGCTCAAATCTCCATGCCTCCAGGCCTGTGCCCAGGCCCTGCCTCCCTGCCTCAGCCGGGAATGTCCTGACCCCTTCCCTGTCCAGCCAACTTCACTCTCAAGGTGCCTCCTCTGCGAAGCCTCCTTTCCCCCACTGAAAGCTAATCACTGCCGCTGGGCCCCCACAGCAGATGTGTCCTGTGTCATAGGACTTACCCTGGTTCCACTGCAGTTAGCTCCTTTTCTCTGTCCACTCGCTTTACAGCGAGGACACGGATTGTGCCACTCCCCTGGGATCCCGGCCTCCAGCAAAGGCTTGGCATAGTGTAAGTAGGTAACCGGTGAGTATCTGTTGAATGAAAAGCCACCACCCTGCCTTCCTGGCCAGGCAGCCTCTTCCTTGTGCTCTTGGACATGCCTGTTCCTGGGGTCACTCTGTCTTGGATACCTGGACACTGGCCCATGATTTCTTCTGACCCCAGGAACTCAGAGACTTCCTCTGACTGGTGGCCTAGGAGTTCCCTCATCCAAGCCCCTGCCTCCCTACAGCTTGGAGTTTCCATTTCTGGTGATTCAGGTTCCCCAATTCCAAATCCCCCAGTGGTGCCTCTTTTGCACCTGGATTTCTATTCTCCAGCTCCTTGAATTTTTCTGACTTTAGTCCTTTAAGAATCCAAGACTGCATTTCCCATCTGGTTCTAAGAACTCAGGACTGAGTCCTCATGGTGCTTCTTTCTCTTAGAGCCATCTACAGAGAACTCCATGGGCCTGACCTTAGGTGTCTAGCAAGGCCGTGTCCTTATGAGCTTCCCTGGCTTTGCGGATGTCCGCTGTCAATCCTCTTCATGGGCTAGGTAGGTGATGGTGAAGTCAGCCAGAGGGCAGGCTCCTGGTAGAGGGCAGGGTGAGGCCGGAGGGGAAGATCAGCCAGGGCTGGCATCAGTCCGAGTTGAGCATTGAGCATTCTACCCGGACCTCACAATGGGGGGCCTGCCCCCTCATGCCCTGGACTGTAATCCTGGCTGAGCCACTCTGCCCCGGGGACCAGAGCCCCCTGGAGACCAGGGCCAAGGTCTCTTCAGTTTCCTCTCTAATTTTATAGAGTATGTCTGCTGGATTTTCCTCCAGCCTGTGAAAATAAGCTTATCATGGTCTTGTCCCACTGCAGGCCTCTCCTTAGGTTGAGGCCATGTCTCGATGCTTACATTTTACGTGTTAATTCGCTAGGCTATGGCGCCCAGGTGTTTGGTCAGACACTAGTCTAGACGTTGCTGTGAAGGTATTTTGTAGATATTATTAACATCTACCAAATGTTGACCTCAAGTAAAGGAGATTACTTCCACCATGTGGGTGCGCCTCATCCAATCAGTTGAAGAACTTCAGAGCCAAAAACCTGAGGTTGTTTCGGGAAGAAGGAATTCTGCCTCAGGACTGTAACATAGAAATCCTGCCCGAGTTTCCAAGCTTCCCTGTGGATTTTAGACTTGCCAGTCCCCACAATTGTATGAATCAATTCCTTAAAGTAAGGAAGAAGGAATTCTGCCTCAGGACTGTAACATAGAAATCCTGCCCGAGTTTCCAGGCTTCCCTGTGGATTTTAGACTTGCCAGTCCCCACAATTGTATGAATCAATTCCTTAAAGTAGATCTCTTAATATAAAAGAACTCTGGCTGGTGTACCATCTCTATTTCCCTTTGTACCAGTGCTTCTTTCCTCCAAAAAATGTATTGTGAGTGCCAGCTGTGTGGCGGGCATAGTGTTAGGAACGGGGCTCAGTGCTAGTCATAAGCAGGCACTGTCCCTGCCTTACCTCACAGTGCAGTGGGGAGCGGCTAGGAATTGAGCGATCGCATCAGTGTCAAATTACCTCTGCGATGGATGCTGCAGGGGAGGCACGACGTGCTGCAGAGGGTGTCGTGGGTGGGTTAGATCCAGTCGGATCAGTACAGCCTTCCCTGAAGAAGTGGTGACTGAGACGATATGAAGGAAGAGGGTCGGGTGTGGGAAGAGCTTCCTAGCAGAGGGAACGGCCTGTGCGGAGGCCGGGGGGGCGTGAGTGCCACCAAGGGAACTGCAAGCATGGAGGAGCAGGGAATGCAGGAAGTGGACGCATGTGCTGGGGAAGGACAGGGGGTCCAGGCCGTGACAGGGCCTGTGGCTATGGGACTGATGTTGACCTTCAACCTAAGGGCCTTGGGAAGCCTTGGGAGGGCTTTTAGAAGGGAGGCATGAGAACAGATTGGAGGAGAAAAAGCTGCTGAGTGGCCTGCAGCAAGGAGGCCACTGCAGCCATCCAAGCAAGAGACAAAGGTGGCTTGGACACAGGTGGTGCTGCAGAGGTGGAGGGAGTGGGCAGAGCTGAGAAACGTTTACTGGTACTAGATGGACTGGTCTTGGGGATGGTGTGGATGTGGGGATGAAGGCAAGCGTTAGGGCAGGACCGGTCTTGCAGTTTCTGGTGTGGGTAGTGGAGCCGCTGGTTACATGCCCCAATAGGGAGGAGGACCAAGTTTAGAGCAAAGAGCCTGAGGCAGGTCTGGATGTGCTGTGAGATCGGGATGTTAAGGAGATATGTCAAGGAAGCAGGGGGTTACTTCTCTGGGTTCCGCTGCGTGGGATGGAAAGATACAGTTTGGAGCTGTCAGCTTCTAGACGGCAGCTGAGGCTGTACGAGTGGATGAGGTCAGCCAGGAATCAGTGACAGGGACAAAGAATAGGCCTCAGGCCCATTGTGCCTAGAAGAGCCAGGACAAGGTGCAGAGGGCATGGAGCAGGAATGCACACAGGGGTGGGCAGAAGACCTGAGAAGCCTGGGCTGGGAGCCACGCAGCAGCGGGTAGGTCAAGGGTAGGAAGCGGCAACAGTGCCTGATGCTGCTGAGAGGTCAGATGAGAAGAAGACTGAAAAGTGTGCATCCGCTTTAGGGTTGGAAGTCATTGGTGACACATCCTGGGCTCTTTAGGTGGAGTGATTTGGCCAACTCCAGATTCACGAGTCTGAGTGGGAAGGAAGAGAGAAGGGGGTTCACACAGCCCTTGCCAGGGGTTTGTCTGTGCAGAGGAGGAGTGTGGCAGAGCTGCAGGCGGCTTCTTCCCTCACTGTCCCCTTCCTCCTCTTGCAGCCTGGTGCCCCCTTGCCCAACCACTGGGCCTCTGTTGCCTCAGGCTCTCCTTAGAGATGCAGTGTGCAATTGAGGTCCTCAGGATGCTCCCAGGCACCCCCAGAACGCGAATTTGAAGCCTCCTGTCCTTTCTTGGTACTCGCCTCCACCAGGCTTCAACCCAAAACTTTAATCATTATTTTTGTTATAATGTATATACAAAGTGCCGTTCAGTATCCGAATCTATCCAGTTTGAGGTTGGGATAGAGAGTAGCGAAAGTGTAGAGTGTGAGGAATTCGTCCAAAAATGTATCCATACCAATTTGGATCCTGTATGTGGGGGTGAGAGTCTGAGAGTGAGGCAGACGGGGCCTCCCTATGCCGCCTTCAGTCCAGCCCCTCCGAGCTCTTGCACGCACCACTTGGGAGTGGTCCACGGTTCCTGACTGCGGGGTCAGACCCGCGTCCACCAGGGGTTGCGTTTCCCACGGGCTCACTGGGAACTCTGCAAGCAGACCTCCGCTCCTGTCCCTCTTCCTTGTGCTGAGTCAGATCTCTTCCGTCTGCTCCTAGGTCACTGGCTTTGCACAGTTTGTTCCCATTCAGATTTGCCTCATGAGATTCCGCTTAGCATTCCAGCTTGGCGAGGCCCTCAGGGATCTTTGCTTCCTTCGTGGCTTGGGATTCTTTGCGGGTTTAACAAGCTTCCCTCTAAAGCCATGTTTTCGAAGCAGCAAGTTGCTGAAGAACAGGGACCTCTAACCTAGAGCCCGCTGTTCCCACCCCCCGCCTGTCACCTCCCGTCCTGTCCACACAGACAGGCTGCGACGTGCTGCCTCCACGCCGAGCCTGCTCAGAGGCACCTCCTGGGAAGGAGCCACATACTGCGTGTGGCCCACATACACCCTAGCAACACTGGCAGTGTGGTCATTTCAATCCTGCCTGCTGGGTCAGCCAGCCTGTGATCACTTCCTGTTGCTGATGAGGAGCCCCTGGGAGGAATCTGTCCAGCCTGTGCTCCCACAGATTCAGCTGTTACTTGATGCCCGTGCCCTCCTGCATGTCAGCAGTGACTCCTCTCGACCCCTCTCATACACTTCAGACAATGAAAGAGACGTGACTGACATTCATTGAGTTCTGATCACATGCCAGACACGGCTGTGACAGTCCTAATCCCCAAGCAGATAGCACCCCATCTGACAGGCGAGAGCACTGAGGCACAGCCATGTCAAGTGCCTGGGCTCTGCCCTGGGCCCCCAGGTGTCCGATCTTTCAACGTTTCCCCAGCTGTCAAGGTCAGGGCTGGGCAGGCAGCCTAGTTTTTGACCTGCTCTTCTCACCTCCAGCCTCACCTCTTTTGCTGCAGCCTCTCTCTGCACAGCTACCTCAGCAGGGAGGTTGGGGGGACTTTCTGACGAGCCATTAGATCTAGGCTCTGCCCAGAGGGAAGTCTTGGAGTGATATCCCAGCAGCATATCCTACTCTGTATCCCAGAGCCCATCACCAGCCCTGGCACATGGTAGATGCTCAGTAAATACATGGATGCATTTTTATCCAGCCTTTCTTTTTTTTTTTTTTTTTTTTTTTTTTTTTTTTTTTTTTT